TAACGTAACGTAACCGTAACCGTAACGTAACCGTACCGTAACGTACCGTACCTACCGTACGTACTACGTACTACGTACTACTACTACTACTCTCTCTCTCTCTCTCTCTCTCTCTCTCTCTCTCTCTCTCTCTCTCTCTCTCTCTCTCTCTCTCTCTCTGTTAAACTTCATTTTATTCACTAAAGAAACCACCTTTTACAATGGGACGTACCCCCTTTTATTCACTCCTAAAACCTCCTAAAAGATCTGCTTATTAAATTAGAAAATGAACACTTCTTACTAATAGCTAATTGGTATCTCATGTACATATCTTTTGGACAAGGCTCCTTACAAAACAACTCAATCAAAAAGAAAAGAAAATGACTTATCAAAACAAACCAATTCTTCCTAAAAGATCGACACGCTACAAATAAAATAAAACAGACTATTGTATCCTTAACGAACCCTTTACTAAGAAGAAATTCAGTCTCTAAAAAAAAGGAACCACTTACTTATCCTGCATTAAACTACCAAAAATAAGGATAAGCCTCCCTAACAACATAAAAAATACCCTACAAACAAAAGACAAGCTTTCCTAAAAACCAAGACGTGACCCTAACTCCTAAATAAATGTAATTCGTAAAAATAATCTAATAAAAATTTAAATAATATTGATTGAAGAATCTCTTGATCTGCATCAAATACCCTAATCTTTCACACAATATGTTAGTCCAGGATTCATTTTCTTTAAGAAGTAAGTCCAATTCTGAAACATAGAATTCTTTCTTATGTAAACAATCTAAACAAAATGATCCTACAGTCGCTAATGCATGAACAATATCCAAGCACAGACATCATTGTATTTGTGTTACATCAAGTTAATTCACCAGCCATGCTCTAAGCTCCCTAGGTTCCTTCTGCAACAAATATTCAATAAAAATGAAAATTGCATGGAATTGCAAATTGTTAACAAGTCATTGGAGGTCCTTCCCTTTCTCAAAGGGTTAGAAACCCACCAATGTAAGAGATTCAGAGATTCTAAATAACCATTGTATGCAATACTAGAGATTTCTCATTTAAATAAATTAAGGTTTGCAGTAGCCATATTAAACTACCTTTACTTGCAGATGTAAGAACTTCCAAAATCCAAAATGGCTACCTATTCCTAATAGCAGCTAATGTTTCCTCTTCAGATTCCAGTTCTCTGTCTACCGCATCCACGTCTTTGACAGGCTCATGAACAGAAGGTTGTGCACCTCTAGATGGCCCTTTTCTTTGAGGAACACAAAGACCAAGTTGCCTGAGCTTACGGGATATTTGGCTTGCAGAATACATGCCCTTGTCGTTAAGTGCAGTTGCAATTAGATGGCTGCACTTCTTATGCTCCTTAAACCTGTTAATATCGCGAGCATACAACAGGGAATAAGAAAAGGTCCCTAGAATCCTCACTCAAACCTTCACAAACATAATTATAATTATGTAAAAATGCCGCAAAGATTGTGAGAGAAATTTCATGTGTAAGCCAGATATGAAACAATTCATACAAAATTGGCTAAGAGAATACATTTCTAGACACAGATAAAAAATAGGACAAATATCAATTCTTAAATACCCACTGCTCAAAGAGGTACGTAATCATCAGCTCCTGCTCTTTGCTGAAGGCATGTATCCGCTTTCTAGGATGGCTAATTAACAGAAAGCAATGAGTTAGCTATTTCTAAGAATTAAAAGATCATAAGAAAATATTGCAACCAGAAGTATTCAATATAAAAGCACTATAATGGAGAAGGAATCATTCCCAACCAATCCCTTCAAACTATGGTTCAAAAACCACATGAAATAACAGTAATGGTGGCAGTTATAATGCTAATGGTCCCTGTCCTTCACATTATAGGCATGGCATGCTATAATACAAGTTTTGTACGTGTTAATAACATAACACGCATTAATTAACTGTATTAATAAGAAGTTTTTTTATTAAATTGAACAGCCCTTATGCAACAATATAACAATTACACCGGGAAAAGAAAATAATAAGTATATCTGCTATAACACCCATTGTTTTATTTATTTCTCATAAAATGCTTTTTATATTTGTTATATTTGAAAATTTATATCATATTTAGTTCATAAACATATAATGACTCTACGTCCTAATACCCATGATATTTTTATGACTCCTAATTATTTTAAATATTGGAAATTGGCTACTGAATTTCCCTTTATTTCCATTTTAACATCCATTAACAATGCATATGGCCAAAATTTTTATGGCCTGATGTGATGGAGTTAGAAACCATTCATCAAACAGCTCATATAAAAGAATAAGAACACTAGTATCACTAAAAAGAACCTGACACACTAGTAATTTAACTTACAACAACGAAACAGGGAATATAAGTTTCCTGGTGCAAAGGAACTACACTTAGAAGATAAATAGCTAAATCATATGCTATGAGAATTCTAAAATAACAAGAACAAACATAAAATATAAACAGATGATACCTAGATAAAACTAGGAGCACATGGTTCTTGACAATAGTATCAAAATGCAAACATGACATACGCCTAATAAAAAACTTTCGAGTAAAAAAAAAATGAGCATTCATTTGACCAATTCTAATGAATATCCACAGTACAAGACATGGTATCCACAGGACAGTACATATGAGCCCAAAACCTTCCCATTAAATAACACTTACTTCTCATAAACATCCCTGATAATATCTTCCTTATCATTATCGAAAACCAAGCGCTTCCTTCTTTTTGGAACTCCCCCGTGCTCACTGTGAGAGTCAGTAGAAATAGTTAGCTGGTGACAAACATAAAACAAAATATGCAATTGGAGCTTACCTGCTTTTCTTGCCTTCATTATAAATTAAATCATCAGCAATCTGATCAACCGAAGTGAACTCCAGATTTTTCCATGAAGGGCCATCTTGGTCGTTACTTCTCTTAAACTCTTCCTGTAAACCACCTTCATAGGGATGTTTGATCCCTTTTGAAATCTCAAAGTCCATTTCATCTTCGCCAAGGCAATCTGCAACACGTTTTCTATATGACCGTTCTCCACCTATCACAGGTCCAGCTTCTTCATTTGTATTCTCACCATCAATAGAAACATTTCTCCATTTATTAACTTCTTTCATCAAATTTTCAATCTCATGCGATAAAAATTCTGCATTGATGTCATTGCATTCCTTACGTGTTTTCCAAAATAGTATTTCTACAAATAGAAGGGGCCGACTCTTCAATTTCATAAATAATTTTGTCACCAACTTGGTGAGAAATGAAACTATATTTTTGTGATCCTTAGAACCAGATGTTTGTTGTTCAACTAGGATGTCATAGAATATGCAAAGAAGAGAAAGCTGCAGAGAAAAACATGCACAGACACAAGATAAGCATAAGATAGTTTAAGGTGACAAGAAAGAAACTTCAGTTTTCAATATGAACCTGAAAAAACATTGGGAAGAGCTCCAAATCATCAGAAATGCGACGCAGAAGACAGATTATATAGTGATTTGTACTAAGAGAGTTGCTTCTGTAGAACTTCAGCAACCAGCAAAGATTTTGAACCACAGTGTTGTCTGCAAAAGTTGCAACTAGCTTAGGTACTTCCAGGTCAACTTCAACCATGTCATCCAGGGTATCATCCTCAGAGTAGCCATCAATTCCACAAGTTTGATGATTCGGAACATCACTACAAATCTGTGCACCATCTTTAGCCAAGTCATTAGCTGGTTGCTCTGTTGTAGGCAGGACCACTCCATGATCACCTGTCGGTGATGGCATGGAGCCATTTACTTTGATTCCATCAGAAATTATGCTGGATAAAGATTCATCATTGGGGTCAGCAACATTGATTAGAGGATCTAAAATGGATTCTCTAATCTCAGGGTTCATGTCCCCACTTGCACTGGGTAATTCTGCATGCTCTTTCATCAGCCCCTCATTTTTCCTGGATTCCTTATTGGCCAACTTTCTCTTCATTGTCTGTTTCCTTGCCTTTTTGGAGACCTGAAATACATGGCCATTTGAAACCTCATGAGATATATGACCAGTACCATAAATAGATGAATAGCAATGTCAAAGACATAGATGGAATTTCATCTTTGACTGACACAAGGTATCTGAAAATCAATTTGGTTTTATGCTAGGAAGGTCAACAACGGAGGCTATTTTCCTACTTACACAACTGATAGTGTAGTTTAGGACGAAGGAAAAAGACCTCCACATGGTCTTTATTGATGTAGAGAAAGCTTATGATAAAATAACTCGAGATTGATTTGAAGGCTGTTGGAAAAGAACGGAGCCCCAAGACACACATCAGCTTGGTGAGAGATATCTACAATGGAGCACTAACTAGTGTGCGAACAACTAGTGGAGAGATGAGTGAGTTTTCAGTGACAATAGGTTTACATCAAGGGTCAACATTGAGCCCGTACCTCTTCGTCTTAATTATAGACGACTTAACTAGACACCTACAGGATGAGGTATTGTGGTGCATGTTGCTCACAAATGACATAGTTTTGATCAACGAGACCCGAAACGGCATCAACACAAAGTTAAAACTTTGGAGGGATGCTCTAGAATCAAAAAATGTTAAAATTAGCCAAGCTAAGAAAAAGTATATGAAATGCAAGTTTAGTAATAATAGGAGTAGAGACGAAGAAGTAGTTAAGAATGACGGCCAAGAAGTACAAGAAAGACAGCATTGTCGATAACTTGGGTCTATAATCCCAGAAAATAAAAAGATTGAGGAAGATGTCATACATCGAATTAGAGCTGGGTGAGAGAAGTGGAGATGTGCAACTGGAATTTTATGAGATCGTCGCATATCAATGAAGCTAGACAGCTGTGAGACCAGCTTTGATTTATGGGGCGGAATGTTGGGCAGACAAAAAACAATATACCCATAAAATGAGTGTAGCGGCAATGAGGATGTTGAGATGGATGAGTGGCAAGACAAGAAGGGATAGAATCCAAAATGAATGCATTCGATAAAGTTTAGGTATGGCATCAATAGGCAATAAGATGAGAGAGAGTACACTTAGGTGGACTAGCTATGTGTGGCGTCGACCCAGCACAGCACCTGTTAGGAGGTGTGAGTTAGTTCAATTGAAAGGATTGAAAAGGGTCAAGGGTAGGCCCAAAAAGACGGGGTTGGAAGTAATCCGAAAAGATATGTGGACTTATGGCCTCACTGAGGGTATGGCCTTAAACAGAGCAGAATGGCTGACCCGGATTCGTGTAACCAACCCCAATTAATTGGAAAAAAACTATGATGATGATGAAGATGATGGTGATAATGATGACTGACGCAAGCATTGAAAATCAAAGGCTACATAAGAGACATGCTTTAGATAAGAGAACACAGGATCAGCCCTTCAAGGCTCATAACTGAGAAGAATGCCTCTTTCAAAGATGTCACCAATCAAGAGGCTTGGAAACACAAGTTGACTAGTACAAGATGCAAAAGCAATTTTGTAACTATAATCAAGACTAGCAACAAGATATAGCACTTGGTAAAAATCTGTAAAAAATCAGTAACACATTTTGTTACGGCAACTGACAAATTGATGAACCCTTGAATATATTAAAGCAATGTATAATGCTGCATGATTTATTGTTCTGAGGCATTTGTGTGGTATCCATGAAGATATTTCCAAACCACCATAATGTCAGAAAGATCCAAGATCTGGCTCATAACTTTCGGTGTTAGAAAAGAGTAAAAGCAAGGAGTTGATAGGGAGAAAGTCCTTTGTCATATGTCAGGTTGGATTCCAAGAAAGGAACATCTGGCCAATTGCATTGACAGGAGAAGCCCAAATTTCCCAACGGGTTGTGAGAAGTCCCAACGGGTTGTTGGCTGCATAAGAAGGGATAACTCCAGTAGCTCCACCAAAACATAGAATATATGTCATCTAGTTTACAATGACTACTAGTGACAAAATGACCATGTTTTGAGACGCCATAGCAAAGCAATAAAAGGACATGAATAAAGTAGATTACTGCAAAGAAAAACAAAGAAAAAAAGCAAAGAGTGCAGAAGATAGACATATATACAGTATTCTGTATATATATAGAGAGATAGAGAGAGAAAGGGAGAGGTAAGAAAAGTAACAATCTTGGTACGAAGATTACAAATAGAAGATTTGTTTTTTTTTTAAGAGAGAGAGAGAGAAGGATGAGATATGATTTCTTCTTTATCATCTTAGCTGCATTTTCATTCTGGAAGCATTTTATTTCTTTTTTTCAGCGCTGCACTTTCTTTTCTGGCAGCAATGCACATTCTTTTCCAACCCTTTTCTTGTCAGAAGAGAAATGGAGGGAAGTTACATCAGCAAAGTGGGAGAAAGAGAAAGAGAGAGAGGAAAAGAGGAAAGGGGAGAGAGATAAAAAGATGGCTCATGGAAGGAGAGACGAGAAAAATGTCTTCGTCATTTATTGATAAAACAAATTCAGGGAGAAAAGATTGCACCATGCCAATAATTGGACGAACGAACCAGCTTTCAAACCCCCCTAGAAGACCCAGATGAGATAATCTGATCAAGTTAATTAATGATGTTTCCTCCTTATGCATGATATACCTCAGACAGATAAAAGTCATACTTATCACAGGATAATGTTATTTATCTGAAATTTCAATATCTCAATGAACACAAATGGGAAAGTTCTCATACCCTTAGACACCCACGTGCTTGAAGATTTTCCATAAGACATAAAACATAATGGACCATTTCCACCAAATCTGCAAGATCACTGATACAACAAGAAAATGAGTGCCAGAATAAGGCTTTTAGTAGTTACAAAAAGTACAAACCTAAAATGCAATTTAAAAACACAAAAGCATTGTCATAAAGTGCAGACGAGGCAACAACAAAATGTTTTAGAAGTAAGCATTATAATCAAAAACTTAATTTTTTTTTGGAAGAGACCACATTCCTGTCAAAACTGGTGAACCAGCTCGTCCAACCATACTGGAGTCCTCGCCTATTTTGGAATCCTCACCTATTCAGTGTGCAATCAATTATTGATAGCATTTGTTATTAGTGGAGTTGGCAATCCAGTAACAAGAAGACAACAGAGCATCTCTTCATGTAATTTCCAGCATAAAATATGAGAAGTGAAACATGTGCATGAGCATTTGTGTCTATGGCATGCAAGTCTACTGGTATAAGTATGAAGCTTGACTACAAAATGAAAATACATGTCAAAGTATGTGCAAGGTACCTTTTGGGTTGCTTATGAGTGTCAAAACCCCTAATCAGATTCAGAAGGAAGTGAGTAATCCCTTGATCCGTCTGATCATAAAAGATTTTGTAAAGTAGGATACGAGCTGTTTGGGACTCTTTTGCATAATCTTCCGGAAATAATTTGAGAATAAGATCAAGGACACGGATCTGCAGGAAAAAACAAACCTGCTCAGTGCAAGAATGTTCAAAAGTGATATGAGGAAATATACAGATTCTGATCCATGATAAATTACTATCCAGCACAAAATAGGCATAATATGTCCATAATTACAATAGCACCGGCCACTTATCAGAAACTTCATAGAAACATCTATGGACAATCTCGACACAATATGACCAAGTTGCATCCACCAAATACATGACGGACATCGCTCTCGTATGCACCTAATGATCAAGGAACAGGAATCCTATAATACAAAAATCCACAAACGAAAAAACTACCATTCAAGGACACAGAACATATTTGCAAACTAGGTTTTACACTGTCTCCCGCAGGAAAAAAAAACCATCTGCTTAGAAGGATATGTGTGTGTGTGTGTGTGTCTATATATATATATATATATATATATATATATATATATATTTTGAGATTTGCCTTAGCATCACCAGATTAATAATTTCCAAAAAAACATTGAATTTGAGATCTCAAACACATAGATCTTACTGTCCAAAGTTGACAGCCTGTGTTCACTCTTTAGATATGATAGTTTTAGGCAGTTTCAGGGTGTGATTCCAATTTATTTTTAAATTTCTAAGATTTGTGTCTAGGAGGAGCAGATTACATCCTAAAATTTGGGATCCAAAAGATAGTCCAAAGTACGTTTTGCCCGAGGGAGTAGGCATAAATTTTGTTCCCATGGGAGCAAGTAATCATTTCCATCCAGCCAATAATGCAAGGCTACAAATTTTGCTTCATGGAGCATGCAATCTTTTCCATCCGCAAGGCAACTAAAATAAGTTCCCATTATATCTAGCAAGCGTCTTTTGCACCAACAAGGACTTGTGTTTGTCCAAAGTGTACATTTTTGTTTAGAAACTGATGCAGTCAAGGCACGATTAGAGTTTTTGTTACACTTGGTCTTTCTTTTATTATTTCATTATTCAGTGATTTTTCTCTATTATTCTTTAAGGTAAGCCCTTATTGAAATGTCAAAGGGTAGCATAGTCATTAAGTGATAGAATTTCATTTTAATTCAATAGCACGTCGAACTCCAATTTTGGTGGGATTTGGGCGAGAGGTGCATAAATAGATGGTTCATTTCAGAGATGGGTGATGTGCACATCAAGAAATAATGCTGGAAAGGGATTGTTTTACGTACTATAGGGGGAGTTAGAAAAAAAAAAAATATGAATTCTCACATTTAGGAAAGAAGTCCAAATTTTCATTATTTTTTCTATTCCTTTTGTGCATAAAAAGGATGTGTACATGGCCAAAGATATTTCTTATGAAGAAAATTCAGATGTTTCATGAAGAGAGAGCACCAACACATGCCCCTTGAAGGACTCATCTCTAACATGGTTTTCTCTCCTGTTTCAAAGCTTCTATTGGACTCTTCTAAGGCTGTTTGTGTGGCTGAATACTTCCTCTCTCTACTCTCATTCTCCTCGAGATTTGTTGTGTCAAGGTGGATAGAGCAGGTTTTATTGATCCACCATGGCAGCCAGCAGACGTGGAAGAGTTGAAAGGCACAATCAAGCCTAAAGATCCAAGAGCTACAGAGACAAGTAGATCAGATGATGCGAGAACTTCTAGTCTTGTGTTGACAACAACCACATCAACAAGTTTACGAGTTAGATGTTGAGTCAAGAGATGATTCGCAGCCGGACGAAGTGCATTCCACATGCAAGGAGGGAAAGACGCTCTGAAGGGTGGGGGATTGGAGGAGAGATTCATTAGAGTGTTGGAGAAAGGAGATCATGGGGTTCAGTTGGATATTGCTGATTTTTCAGGATGGTAGGATCCCAAGAAATGTCTTGATTGGCTAATCAGTCAAGAAAAGTTCTGAGTAGTTAGACAAAAAAAAATTTGTTGAGTGACGGTGCTAGTAGACGACAGTAAAGTCAAGTTTGTAAAAGCTATGTTGAAGGGTCATGCTTCCATTTGGTGGAATCGACAGCAAACAAAGTGGGAGAGACAAGTCCAAAATTCTCACTTGGACTAAGATGAAAAGTAAATTGGGAAAAAAAGAACTTCGATTGGCCTATGCGCAAACCCTATCCAACATTATCGATTTGAGGCAGTGTGAAAGAAGCATCATGGAGTACACAGGACTTTCTTAAGTTGTTCATCCAAGCTGATTTGGTGGATGGGAAACTGAGGAGCATCTCATGGCTCATTAAATTTATGGTTGTGCATAAAAATCCAAGCTGAATTCATTATTGAAAAGATGTGGAGTGTAAACAAGGCATACCAGCTGGCATTAAAGGTGGAAGGAAAGTTGAAGAGGGCAATAACACAGCAAGGGTTTGGAGATAGTAACACAATTTCAGGCATAAGACATGGGCATGCAATCCATAGCCGAGGATCTAGTGCATCTGGCCTCAGCCCTAATCAAGGGGGAGGCACTCAAACTCAGACTCGAGTGGAATCATCTTCGCATTGTCGTGGAGATGTTAAACAGACCTCAAGTCCCTCGCTTCAAGGGTGAGGAGAATAGGCATCGCTCTTTTGAGTGCCCAAGGGGATGAAAAGCATGACAAGGATGCAACTGATATTGAAGAAGAGTTAATATATGAAAAAACATTCAAACAAAAGAATGTTGCTCCAAATGAGGGACTCTATAACCATTAGGTGTGTTATGGTGACTCCATAATGTGAGGAGAATGAGAATTGGATTCGTACCAATATCTTTCTCGCCAAGTGTACCTCAAGTGGAAAGGTATGTCAATGATCATCGATGGCAGCTGTTGTGAGAATATCGCTTCTAACGAAATGGTAGACAAATTGGGTTTTAAGAGCAGCAAGCATCCTACCCCACAGAAGATGTCATGTTTACGCAACATAATGAAGTTCCCAATGATTCTCCTTGCCTATTTAATTTTTCAATCAGTAAAACCCATAAGGGTGCAATGTAGTGTAATGCTGTTCCAATGGATGGATGTCATTCGTTACTTGGTCATTTGCTGATGATGTGATGCATGCTACAAGAAAGAATACCTACACTTTCATGCATAATGAAGTTAAGGTCACATTGCATCCAATGAAGGGATCCAGCCTAATAAGGGGGTTGAGAAGCGATCTCATCGCTTGACTGTTTGGGGATTATTTGAAATGATTCAAGAAATTAGGCTGGTTTTTGCACTTGGAGCAAAGGAGGTCGAAGGTCATAAAAAATTGCTCAAGGGAGTAATGACTGAATTTAAGGACATCATTCCTAAAGAGTTGCCTGAGGAGCCCCCACCACTATTAAACATTCAACATTGTATTGATTAGTACAAAGTGGTACACTTCCAAACTAAACTGCATATCGAAGGAGTACACTTGAGCATGAAGAGCTGATAAGGAAAGTGGGAGACTTTCTTGAAAAGGGGCCGACCATGAGACATTAAGCCCATGTGTTGTCTCAGCTTTTCTTTCCATGACTCGAGGAGGATGTGTGGAACAATCACACTCTCAATAAAATAACAATCAAGTATAGGTTTCCTATACCTCAGCTAGACGATACATTGGATATGTTGTCTGAATCCCTTACTCTTTTGAGATTATTCACAAAGAGGGCTTATATGTCAACGAATGCTAAAGCCATGATTGCGTGGCCTACCCTATTGTCTGTTGGAGATGTGAGAACCTTTCATGGTCTTGGTACAGTTTATCAGCATTTAGTTCACAATTTTAGCATTATTATTGCTCCTATAATTGATTGTAGGACGGAAAGAAAGTCAGCATGGACCAAGGCTGAAGAAGACCTTCAATCCAGTGAAGCAAACGATGGTTGATGTGCCAATGTTGCCTTTGCTTGATTTTGAAGAAGTCTTTGAGGTAGAATCCGATACTTCACATTTGGGTATTGGTGATCTCCCTCGCCAAGAGGGGAAGCCAATTGCATAGTTCAGAGAGTGAAGCCAAGAAACAGCATCCCACCTATGACCTCAAGTTCTATGTCATTGTGCAAGCGTTTGCAACATTAGTGGCATTACTTGATCTACGGAAGTCTCATTTATTTAGACCATGAATCCTTGAAGTACGTAAATTCTCAAGAGAAATATAATCATATACATAAAATTGGTGTCTTTTCTTCAAGAACATATTTTGAAATCAAGCATAAGTCCGAGGCTCGAAATTGTGTGGCTAATGCTCTTAATCGGAGAACAACTAGTCTGAGCACTATATCAATGGGAGTTTTGGGCTTCAAGCACGTAAAAATGCAATATAAGACCGATCCATATTTTGGGGATATTTATGAGCAGTGCAGCAAGGCAGTGGGCAATCAACAGGGGACATTCTTGTTAAATGATGAGTATCTCTCTTTCAATATCATTTGTGTAATCCAAAAGGCTCTCTACGTGGAAAACAATGGAAGATCTTCATGGGGGAGGCTTAGGGGGACATTTTGACGAGGCACGACGGTTGCTTTGGTAGAAGACAAATATTTTTATCCTAGGCATCACTAAGATGTTGGCCAGTATGTCAAAAGGTGCAGAGTTTGTTAGTTGGAAAGGGCCAAGCTCAAAATATTGGATTGCATACACTATTATCTACGCTTACAACACCTTGGAAACATCTTAGTATGGATTTTATATGGGGATTGCGTAAGACTCAAAGAGTTAATGATTGTTGATTTTCCGAAGATGGCTCATTTCATTCCTTGTAGAATGACTATCGATGTCGCTTGTGTTGCACATTTAATTGTCAAAGAGATTGTGTGCCTTCATTGAGTACCAAAATTAATTACTTCAGACCGTGGTGTGCGGCTTATGAGCCACTTTCGGAGGACTCTATGGAAGAGGCTTGTTACTGGGCTTCAATTAAACAATGCATATCATCCACTAACTAATGGACATATGTACGTGGTAAATTAAAGCTTAGGAAGCTTATTAAGAAGCCTAGTAGGGGAGTAGACCAGCCAAGACATGCAAACTTCGCTTATAACAATTCTCAGAATCGAACTATTGTCAAGGCTCCATTGAAGGCAGCCGATGAAGATAAC